CAGATAATTTATCAATTTTTTCAGCAGAGATGTTGGCAATTATTTTAGCATTGCAATGGGTGCTGGAGGTGAAGCCTAGAAATGTAGTTATCTGTTCAGATTCAATGTCTTGCCTGACTAGTTTTAAAAGTGGAAAATCTGAAAGCCGTCAAGATCTTTTAGATGAAGTCAGTTATTTAATGTATGGTATAAGGCAACAAAATATAAGTATTCAATTCACATGGGTTCCACCACACAAAGGAATCTTAGGTAATGAAAAAGTAGATAAGTTAGCTAAAGAAGCAGTTAAAGTAGGAGAAATTGAATATGATGTCCCGCTAAGTAGAACAGAAATAAAAGTAATTATTAAAGATAAAATAAATAAGGTATGGCAGAAGAGATGGAATTTAGAAAAAAAAGGAAGACATTTATATAAAATACATAAAGATATTAGCATAGGATATAACAGTATAATGAGTAGAAGAGAGGAAATATGGATAAACAGGTTAAGGATTGGGCATACTAGTTTAAATGCAGGTCTAAAAATAATAGGGAAACATCCAACGGGTAATTGTTGTTATTGCGGAGAAATCGAAGGAGTAGAACATGTGTTGATCTATTGTAGCAAATATACAAAAGAGAGGAAAGAACTGGAAAGGGTAATGGGGAGTTCAGTAAAGATGGCAGATTTATTAGGGAAGCATCAATCAGATAAGATAATTAAAGCACTTATTAAATATTTAAAAGATACAGAATTAGCTGGGAGAATTTAGTGTGTGTATGTGCGTGTGTGTAAGTATAGATAGAATTTAGTTTCATGAAGATATAAAGATATACAGACATTATATTTCTGAATTACATCTCCGTCCAGTTGATGGCGGTAATGCACACAGGATGCAAACTGCCAGAAAACTCAATAGAAGAAGAAGAAGAAGAAGAAGAAGTTACATTTGTGTGGGTTCCAGCACATATTGGGGTAGAAGGAAACGAGTGGGCAGATAAAATGGCAAAAAGGGCAATTAAACATTCTATTAGTTTTATAGTTAAAATAAGTAAATCAGAAGGAAAGAGTATTATTAAAGAGAAACTTATGGAAATTTGGCAAAAAAGGTGGGATGAAGATAAAACAGGAAGATGGTTTTATAAAATTCAGAAGATGGTAGGAGAAAGAAGAAATGGAAGAAGAAATAGAAAGGAGGAAAGAGTGATAACAAGGTTAAGATTTGGTCATACAGGACTTAATTATACACTTTTTAAAATACAAAAACATAAAACGGGCAAATGTGATTTCTGTGATAAATATGAAACCATAGAACATGTTATATTAGACTGTCATAAATATGAAAGAGAGAGAAGATATATGAGAAGAGAGTTTGAAGACATTAAGGAGAAGGTTAATTTATTAGATATACTGAGGAAAAATTTAGGGAGTAAACACATACAAATAATTATTCGTTTTCTAAAGAAAACGAAATTATTCCATAGAATTTAATTATAGTAAGTGTGTTTGTGAGTGAAGGAATGATATACAAAGCTGTGCACAAATTTGTTTATATTTTTAAGTGTGAATGTGTGAATGTATGTTTAGAAGAAGTTAGGGTAGAATATATCAGGATAAATATTTAAACCATCACGAACCACACTCCATACCAGTAAGTGGCGGTAATGCTACTAACAGTTTGTTGCCAACCGCCATAAAACACGAGAAGAAGAAGAAGAAGAAGCTGCCTTAAATTCAGGAAGTAGTGGAGCTGTGCATAGAGCCCATTAAGACACATATACAAAACACAACATAGCTAATGTTTTCAATACTTTAGAAAACAAAAACTACATTGTTGGAACAAGTATTATGCAAGTGAGTTTTTTCTTAAGTACAAAATCCTTCTATGCATAAGCCTGAGCCGTATCACAGAGAAAATGCTGAGAATTTTTTTTCACTCTGATTGCAAAAAACAATATTTGAGAGTAAAACATAATTTTAAGGGAGCGTTTTTTCATTGGAAATCATTTTCGAAATGTCTATTTTTTTTTCTTTCTAGTGTTCTCTCCAATATATTTATTTCACTTAAAAAAATTTCCCCCTTTCAGATGTCTTTTTTTCTCCATTTTTCTCCAACTCCATAGTAGCAGTGATTATTGAGAGCCTCAGCATTGGACCCGGAAATTGAAATTCTGGAAGTATTTTACTGAGGACAAAAACACAAGAAAAGGAAACATTGTTGGTTTGTTAGCTGAATTAATTGAAAACTTATGAACGGATTTTATGCACTTTTTTTATTTACCAGAGGTGTGCCTCATGCCAGTTAATCAGAGTTTATAGTAAAATTTGCTGCTTGGTGGAGGTCTACCCTCTCCGAGTGCTTTCCTAGCTGCGAATTTATTTGTGTGAACTGTACTGTATGTATGCCTGGGTGCAGCGCCTTAACACCAAAGAAAATTCCTCATACATGTAAAACTGTTTGGCATATTAGATTTTCCTAATTCTTATTTTGAAGCAAAATTAAATTTATTCAAATAAAATGTTCTATTTTAGATAATTAATGCAATCAAAAGATATATGTTAAACATTTTTAAGAGTTTTAAATAACCACAAAAACACAATATGTTGCAGGTTTTTTATTTTTTATTTTTTTATGACTCATCCATAAAAGTGGTTTATTACCCACTTGCATAGCCTCATCAGTTATGTGGTCCTTTTTTCCCTATTCATAATAATAATGATAATTAGCAAGTAAAGTAACATTGCTCTGATTTCCAACAGGATGTGATTCTCAGCCAAAGGTGGGATGTGTATAAATGTAAAGACAAATGTTACTTCTTTAAAAGCTTTATTTTTTAAAACAGTGTGCAACTTGTTGCTTATTTCTGTCTTTTTGTGCACAAGATTGTAGAAAATCTAATTAGAATTTTTCAAATGGTGATACAGGCATGAAATGTGTACCCATTAAGGTTCACTATTTTCAGAAAAACTTCTGGCCATGTAGAAATAGAAGACGGTGGTCATATTTGTAGATGGGGGGGATTTTTTTTTTGTTTGCTTTTTTTTGCTGTTTTGAATTGAACGTTTTTAAAATAAAAATGTTTCTTGTCAACCTGATAAATGAAAAGCACTGTGATTTTTGCCCTCACCATGACTTTAATGTGTCTACTGTATAGTGCATCTAAAATTTCTTTGAAGGTGTGCTTTCAAGAATACAAGCACCAAATGTTTATATCACTGTTTGAACAATTGTTTCCGTTGTCTGCTTCACTATTCCTCACCAGATTCATCTTATCACTATGCTGTCTGGTTACACAGTCCCAACATTTTTATTTATTTTTTTTTTTTGCGTATCGACTCAACATGTTTGTCTGATTGCACCAACGTTTAAAGCCTTAACTGCTGTTAATCAATTCAACCAATCCTCTAGCAATATTTATTGACAGTTAGCATTTTCTATTTATACAAATATAGTTTGCAAAATCACCTTGGGGAGAAGGCCATAGATATAGAAATTAAAACGTTATTCTATCCGCTGGTTTAACTTTAATTCTGATGATGGAGGTAAACAGAGAGAGCAGTTCCAGGTTTAACTCCTTTTATGGAAATTTTGAAGTCTTTTTTGCTTAGCTTTTTAACATTGTTTTGGGTCAAACTTACTGTTCTAATGTACATTTTGTATAAATCTACGGTAGTTAAATATAGCAACAGCTAAGCTGTAAATTTTTTCTCCTTTTCTGTAATCCATTTTTTTTTTTTTTTTTGCACGGCCCTTTCCTTGGCTCTGACTGGCTGCTTCAAACTGACTCAAGAATACTGAAGGTGTTTCTTTAATATTGGTTCTTATGTAATGTTCACAATTGTAAACTTTCATTTGTTTTTATTTTTTTTTTTACCATGGTAGAATATGTGAGAGGGTTTTAGACTTAAATAAAAAAAAAATTCTATCTTAAAGCAACAAACTGTGATTTTATTTTGGGTGCTATATAATATTATATTTATCACATTGTTATTCTGAATCTGAGCCACCCCTGGCCTAAATGAAGATCCATTTCAGACCTGTTCTTATTTCTATATGTGTAAAGCATTTTTCTACTGAATGGTAGACTTTTGATTCTCAATTCTTTTTTTGTTTTGGTTTTGTAATGAAAGGCGAAATAAAAGGGAAAAAAATAGATAGTAATTCATTTAAATCTAACTTTAGAGCTGCATTTCTATTGCTATCCACCAGGTAGTGGTGTTCTACCTTTTACAGCCTTAATAGCTGCAGCGTTGTCAATTTAGCTGGAAGCTATGTTTTAATCGCGAAGATCTTTGAAATCGTTATATAAAGGTGTGGAGGTGAAGATATATGTTTTCTGGTTTTTAGAGGAGTGGCCCTATCAGTGAGCATAGACTGTGATGATAGTGAAATAAAGTCATACTGAAGAAATTACATCTATAGAAACACGTTTCAGCCTGTGCACATGATGTGATCTTCTGAAAGGCAGATTGTATTCGCAGAAACCAGATTCTTTAGACTCCTTCCTTCCTGTTTTGCGGTGTACCTTTCTGTTGGCACTTCTGAGTCATTTATGTCTATGTAAAATGGTCCAGTCAAACCAGTCTGACAGGAAAAAACACTTTGTTTTTGTCTCAGTCTCAATATTGCAGTAAAGTCTGTTAACCAATTTTCTAATGCTGCTGATCTTTCTCTGTCTCTGCAATATGAAGGGGATTTATTTTTAAATAACTTAAAAAAAAAATTATGAATAAGAAGAGAAAACCAAGCCCCTGCTCAAAATGTTTACAGTTAAAATCATTAGAAGACAAACATCTTTATTAATATAGAAGATGAGAAATGTGGGAGGGAATCATTTGTTTCTCTTTCCACAAACAGGTTCGTGGGATCCTGGTTTAACGGATATTCCTGAAAAACTATGCTGCTGCATGTCAGGACAAATTAAAACTTGCATGGGGGGCGGGACGAAAGGAGCACCTTTGGAGTGAAACGTGCAGTGATTGGTCCGGAGAGCCGTCAATCAAACAGGGGCGACCGGCTGTGGGTAGATCTCAGGTTTCGATGTAGATGTAAGATCGCTCAGCTTCCACTTATCTTTATTTTTTTTTATATTAAAAAAATAAGAGCCGCGATTTTAGTTTAAACGGTGATCATCTTTGTCATGGAGAGGAGGATTTTTACCTTGGCCGTGCTTTGTGCGGGTGAGTGTTGGAAATTGCAAAAATACTAGTTTCCTAGTGTTGGTGAAGGTGCGACCACACCTGTGTGCGCACCTTTCGGAATCACCTGCCTGCAGAAAAAAAACAAGATGGGCGCCGTTTTCCTGTTGAGCAAAATTTTCTTTATTTAAACTCTTGTGTTCTCCAATACATTCAGGGCTGCCAGCTTATCACCAAACCTTGGGGTGAGATTTTGAAATAGTTTGGACAGGAATCTCTATCAGGGTTAGATGAAGATGGGTGCAGCTGTAGGTTGGAAGTTTTCAGAGGATTTAACTGAAACTAAGTGGCAAAATGTATACCAGAGTAAATTTTAAAGTAACGATAAGTGATCTCTACTTATGTGGGAAATTTTTCTCCCAATA